GTCCCTGCGATATCGCACATCTCGGCGTCCGTCGCGTTGGCCAGGGCCTCCTCCATCTCCGGCTCCAGCGTGATCTGCTCCTCCTTGGGGATCTCACGTTTGGGGTTTTTGGAGATGAACGGCTTCCCTGCGGGGGAGGGGAAAATGATTCGCTTTAAGTTACATAACACACACAGGTCACCCATAGAGCAAACCCTAAAAAGTCCCTTTAAATCCGACCTCCGTCCTCCCCTTCAGTCTTCTATCTGATCTCCGTCCTCCCCTTCAGTCTTCTATCTGACCTCCGTCCTCCCCTTCAGTCTTCTATCTGACCTCCGTCCTCCCCTTCAGTCTCCTATCTGACCCCCGTCCTCCCCTTCAGCCTTGCACAGTTGTACCGGCTCCTCTTCCTCTGATGTCACTGCACACCGGGAGCTCCTCACAATGTGCATTAGAAGCTGCAGCAAGTCAGATAGAGCTCCGCCTCCTTTCCTGGATGGGGGACACCCGGCATCATCTAGACCTTTACTCTCCAGCCTGAGTGTCCCTGGCCCCGCCCCTTACATTCCCGCCCCTTCATTGGATTTCAGTTCTGTCAATCGGCGGAATGGTAACTCTGCTGCGGCGGCTCTGCAGGAGGACGGGCCGGCTCATTCGGAGGGGAGAATATAGCCTGCAGCTGCCCACGTCCGTCACTGTGACGGGCGGCGGGGGAAGGACATTTAAAGGGACAGCGCCGCCGCCGCCAGCAGCAGTTTAACTTCCATGACGAAATATATTGTTACAATGTAAAGACAAAAAAATGTTTTTTTTAATGTTTTTATACAATTCTAATTTTCTTTAAAAATGACTCAATAAAAGTCAACTTTAAAACTGAATAAAAAAAATATTAAAATAATTTGAAGATACAAATTGACATAAAATAGAAAAATGTGTGTGGCCCCAGCAAGGGGCCCCCGGAAAAAAACAAAACATCTGAATGACATTAATGTATAATATGGGAAGTCTTTCTGTGGAAGCAGCAGTCTCTCTGCAGAGGTCTGACACGCCCCCCCTGCTGAGTCAAAGCTGAAGGTCATAGTAAGAATCATGGTCCGTGCTGATTGGAGAACTGTGGTTGTGGTTCAGTAGGAGACATGCCGGACCACTGCAGAGAGACCGCTGCTTCCAGACAGAGAGCAAGGGCCCTTCTCTGCAGTATGCTGGCAGGGGGACAGACTTCCAACTCAGGCTGTGCAGTCGAGCTCAGGCTCATGCTCCCTACTGAGTGGAGAGCTCTCACGTAGAGGGAGGCATGTCGGACCTCTGCAGAGAGACCGCTGCTTCCACACACAGAGCAAGGGTTGCAGCATGCTGGCAGGGGACGGGCTTCTCTATGTGCTGCACTCTCATACTCCATCTGTAC